GATTGGAAACGCGATTGATTATTTTTTACCTTCCAATTCGTAGTGGTTCAATTTCTTTTGAGGTACAAAAATAAACTTCAGTCAGCTAAATATAGAAGCTCAAAAAAAAAAAAAAAATTAAAATATTACATTGCACGACTATTAGAATTTTGAAATACCTAAAGCTTTATTAGAATTGTTAAGTAAAATAATGCATAAAAAATGTTTATAGTTCAAAAACAGAACAAAATTCAAACCGCTTGGGTCTATAGTTCACCTAAAGTTCATAAAAACGCATTATCATTACCAGGGCAAAAATGTATTAGGTATAAATTTGCCTTAATAGCTATAACCACGATGACAACAAGACATTTGCGAACACCAAACTGCGTCTAGGGACAAAACGAAGCTCATTTTGTACATTCATAATGAAAATTGTTATTATGTTTACTTAATGGTGTACTGTACAATCATTTCAACGTAATATTTGATCGATTTTTAGATTGGAGCAAAGATACCACGAGTTTATTTACAGTGACATCCCTAGTTGAGTTAGGGAATACTTTATTTTCAGCCTTATTCTTTAAGGGTAAGAACTGCCGGTAGCGTAGGGTTGTCAATAAGAAAGTCGGGAGGGTAAATTAAGTTTGTAGAGCGAAGAGTCAAGGCTAACATTTATTTGCAAATAATTTCCGACCGCGGGAGGCGTCGGTCGTCATTAAAATTTGGCATGGTGCCGAAGTCAGCTTGGAGTTGTTCATTTTCTCATGTCAATAGTTCATGCCTCATAGCTTCTGTGTTATTACGTGACTTTGTTCGCGCAAAATGTTTTTGTAAGAGCTATTGTATTCAGCACTTGTTAGTTTTATGCTTATGATGCGGCAAATTGCTTTTTGTTCTACATGTATTCGCAATGCTTATTTATCTTGGTTTCTGGTAATCTAATTAATTATGGTGTTATTTATTTTAAACTTATTATTGAATAGACTCTTTACCTAGACATAATTAACTATTTTAGTGCAATATAAAAAAACGACGTCGATTTTAAAAAAATCGAACATTTTAAAATTGTTAACAATAATTCCACCACAAAATAAATCCAAGGTCAATTAATTCAAGTAGGTATATCGTATCACCTCTGAAGTCCATTGTAACATAGTAACATAAATATATATATGTATTATGTTCCAAAAACGTAAAAGCGGCACATTTATTAAATCGAACGGCACCCAATGTATTTATATTCATCACCACTACCATTCGTTTCAGTTCTAATAAATTCTAAATGTTCGTAATAGCAGACACGGCGATAGGCACCTCCATTTGTCATGGGCAACTACCAGGGCAGCATAAATCTATCGGGTATCTCGAATTCGGGCGGTGTTCGATATTTGAATCTACAACCTTACCTATTCTTGTAGATAGCAAGTAAGATCTTCCTTAGAAGCCTTTATTTTTTAATTTTGTGAATGACCAAGTCACACTTGCCTCTATAAATCTTGCACAGAAATCACCGACGGTGTATTGGGGACACACTAGATTTTCTGGTACGTCACAACGCAATTTATCAACACGCGCAAAAGGTATGGAAAAGATTTTTTTGCCATTTATCAGCTTGGGGCTTGCTCATTTTTTACCGCGTTTCCTGATTGGAAACCGAAACTAGGCTATCGTAAACAAAACTCTATGTATATTTGCCTACAAATACAGTTTACCATTAATTAAATTCTTTAAGTAAATGCCAAGTTTATTAATTCTATAATGCTTGTATTATCCATTATTAAATGAGTTAGTTTAGATTATTTTGAAAGCCACATTTTCGTCACGAAACCTGATTTATGGCGACACGGACCCTTCCTTTCCTTATAATTAAGAGAAAACCGACACTTTACCACTACTATGGAACATTCCACAAATTCTTGCGATGGAATTCTTAGCAAGTTCTTCTCATTAAGAATTTAGTTCGACAATTTGTACTGATTTGTGGGTTAATTTAATATTATCTGAATAATAATGTAAGCTAGTTATGTTAATGAATAAAACTCTAGTTATAAGGGATGTAAAATGTAATTAAATGCTATGGTTTAGGGTTTTTCAAATTGCCCAATATACATTCGATTCAAAAAGTAATGGATAATAACTAACAAATACTAGAAGAAACCAAGATTATAAACTAATCTCGATAAGCCACATAGTAGTGGTCCCAAACAACAACATTTTTAAGTAATTACTGACGAAACCAAAACGCCTTAATGTAAAAGCAAATAAAACAAACCAGACACCGCGATATCAAGCTTTTGTTTCGAGTTATTTTCGTACAAACCGTCATTTGTTAAGATAGAAGCTAACTATAATATGCAGTGTAGGTACTGTTATTTGGCCAGTAACCGAATTATATTTACTATATATTCCTCGTAATACACCTGTGGGAGCAAAAATAAAAGCATTTTTAGGCTCCAAAATAACTTTTGGTCGTGGGCAAAAAAAAGTGAAACATGAAATTGCTAGGTGTCCTCCCAGGGTTGAAAAAATGCCTTTACAGAAATGAGAACATCACAAAAGTGCCTAAATTTCGTGCCATTCGCGTGGTTCTGTTAAACGAAAACAGCATACGTACTGCTCATCATGAACTCTCACTCTTTGTACGAATCAACAAGCATATTTCCCCTGACGATGTCGCATGCATGGCTGGTGGCGAATTTCGTTAGCACCCTGTCAAACTTGTACACACTAATGTCGCCACTGTGGTAAAGGAATAGTGTTCATAATTGCATTCACAATTTTTGCTTGGCCAGGGCCGCAAGTGGAAAAATTAGAGGGTAATTTAGGAAATACGGTAAGTAAACAAAACAAATAAATGATAGTATGTTTTAATATTACAGAATTATTACTAAATATCTATGGTTAAAGGTACTCTTATTAATCGTTTTGTTAAAACAAACAAAAAAAAAATGTTGATTTTGTGAAATAAGTATTTTCGTCTAAAACCCATACAATTTGTGTTAGGATTATTATCTATCTCTCTTGTATGCAAGCTACAAGTTTCAAATGCCAGCCAGTGCCGTTTGTCACAACAACTGGATTTATTGTTTTCCTGAACTTTAGGAACAAATTTGTTACACTACAAGATTACAGAAAGCAGCAAAATACACCTAAAGCACCTGTTAGTAAAAGAAATTGTACATATATTTTGTGGTTTAATTTTGTGTAGGTTATTTTTTAAATGTGGCATGCAATTGGGGAGGCCTATGTCCAGCTGTGGACGACATCAGGCTGATGATGATGACATATATTACGTGTGGGAGGGCTATGCTTTGGCACGAATAGGTCAGCTCGATTGGAGTGATACCTCGGCGTCACAGAAAATAGGTGTGACACAACCAAGCCACGTCATGTGAATAAAAAAAAAGAATTTATTGCGACAAGCTGACGACAAACTCCTTGATGCAGTCGTTCAGTCAAACTTACTTTTTTCTTAAATATCGAAGGTATAAAATATGAAGGCACTATTTCGCCCCATACCTCATACTCAAGTTATCTAATAATGTTTCCTTTATATTTTTTGTCGTGAAAAGCGCTTCTGAATAAACTTTACAGTTCCTGGATACTTTTAGAACTTAAAACAGGTAACTATGTTTCGTTCTTCGTTGAATGTAATAAGTTGTATCACAAGGGAAAAAAGATTCAAGATACTAAACAAGAACATCTCCCTAGGCGTTTGTCGTGATATAACTTAAAAACAATATTATTAAAATCTACAAACAACAAAAACAAATAAACGGATACATTGCAAGTTTCATAAAATCTTGTAATGAGTTTTATTCAAATATTTAAAAATATGAGTTATATTAATTAAATAAGTGCTCAAAAATTCAGTTAAATGCACAAGGACTAAGACAGTCGACAAATCTTAAAAGGAATATCAGTCGGTCGTTATTAAAAAATATTGGTCTCGATGAAAACCAGCCCTACTGATAAAATCGTCATATCAACCCACAATTTATCTTAGTAAAACACGGCGGTACTCCCTAAAGACATCGATCTATCTTGTACCTTCTTTTTGTTTGGTTTTCCCAGATGGCATCTTAAAAATGCTCATTTTTATCATTCTATGAATTTAAGAGTACATTGAGTGTTGTACGTCATTTTCATGATTTAATTCCTCGGTCTACTGTAACACTCGAGGGATTCCAAAGCGATGTTTACACGCAGCCAAGAGTGCAAAAAATATATAAGGAAATACAATTGTTCCCTTGATACAGTTCCCGAGCTCTAAATAAAATACGGCCCTGTTCCACCACATCTGTATACTCAGAGCAAATGTACCGACATTGTTTATTTGCCAACGTCGCAGCACTACAGACGAGGCTGACGACAAAATGACGGAAATAATTAAAATTGAGACCCCAAATAACACCGCTGCTTAATTTCGTCTCAACCGTATTGTTTTTCGTTAAAAGATTAGTCTGTAGTTCCGGACCTCAGTCGCAAATAATTACAACTGGTTATTTTTAGTATGGTAGTATACATTATTTTTAGAATCTCATTTGGGTGGTCCCTTGGGTATTTAAAAGGGAATACTTAAGATTCTTAAGCTCGTTTTCTGTTAATTACTAAATAACTATATTTGGAATATAAAATGGGCCAGAGGGGAATATAAAATAGTTTAGTTAACTGGTTTCTTTATCGTACTAAGAAGGATACAAGGAATTAAGGCTTTTTAAATTGTTGAGGTTTTTTTACTTATGGTTTATGACTTGGAATCGAAACATGAATTAAAAAATAAGAATAATATTGTTAATTGTTATAATGATGTTTAATAATACACATAAAACATTTTTATATTACTCTAAAATACTACTAAACTTGAACAGCCATGTTACTCACAACAAATCATCAACGAATATTCACGTTCGTTCCTAATATACTCAATTATAAACACTATTTAAAAATGTACTTTTTGACCAAAAAGTCTAAAAAAATCCTTATACAATAAATCTACTTACATTAATATTTAATTATCAACTAGTATTTGGTTTATTATCAAGTTTATTATAATCCTCTTTTATTAAATCCGCTGCTCTCTCGGCTACCATGACGGTGGGTGCATTAATATTCCCGCTAGTAATAGAAGGCATCACACTAGCATCGACAATACGAAGTTTGTTTATACCATGGACTTTCAACCTACTATTAACTACTGAACTACTAATATCTCGACCCATCTTTGCAGTAGACACTGGGTGGTAAATAGTACTAGCCATGTTCACAACGATGCATCTCAAATATTCATCACTGTTGAATTCATAGCCGTCACAAGCAGGTAGCTCGAGGCGACCCATCGTAGCGCCAATGGATTTAAAAAACTTCGTATCCACGATTTTAAGGAACATTTTAATTCCTGTTACTGTTGCATCTAAATCTCTTTCATCACTAAAGTTATTATAGTATATCAGGGGATAATCATATGGATTATCAGAATTTAATGATATATTTCCTCTAGAATGAGGACGCAAAAAACTTATTCGGACTTGAAACATCGCTCTATTTTCACCTAGTTTCAACACTGAATTTTCTACTGATTTCACATATTCTGAAGCAAATGATTTTATACTTTCATCATGTTTATAATGAAACAAAAGGAGGGCTTGAAAGTCTGGATACGTTGAATTGGGATCAGCAGAATAAAATGCGGTTAAGTCTTGGTAAGAGTGATATGCTAAATATCCTTTTCGGTCATATAAATATCTTACCGACTCATAATCTTTAGTGGCTTTGTCCATCACTTCGGGTTCATCAGCAAATATTAAAGTAGGAATATTAGTGTGATCATGCAGATTCTGCCCCACCATAGGCGAGTCTAGCACTGTTGAAATGTTTTTCTCTTCAAGATGCTTTTTGGGGCCTATACCAGACAACATGAGTATTTGGGGTGTGTTGATAGTACCTGCGCTTATTATAACTTCAAGTTTTGCTTTCAGTGTATATTTATGGCCGTTCCTATCCATTTCTATTCCAATCGCAGTCGGTCCATCGAATAATATTTTAGTGACATGAGAGTTTTTTGCAACCTTCAAATTTTTTCTACTACGTACAGGGTTAAGATATGCTGTTGCAGAACTTATTCTTTTTCCATCAGTTGCAGTGACCCTAAATCTTCCAGCGCCCATATTTTTAACTGTATTTAGGTCTTCTACTGGTTTTATTCCGATTTCATCAAAAGCAGAAAGCATGTTGTCCAAAAGCGTAGTATTGGTTACATTGTAAGTATTTATAAATAGAGGACCATCGTGACCATATTCATTTTGAATTGCAGGATTTCTCAGTAAAATAGGATCTTGTAAACTTTCAGCTTTCTGTTCATATTGTTTGACTATATCTGGATGCCATTCTTCATTTCCTTCATCATACCAGGATTGATAATCTCTAGGGTGGCCTTTAACATGAGCCATCACGTTTATACTACTACTGCCTCCTAACATTTTACCTCGGGGCCATTTAATATTTCCATCCTTATTGGCTTGACTAGTTAGACCATTATTCACTGTTGTATATTTCCAGTCAAACTTCGAGCCGTATAAACTCTCAGTCAAACCCGGTATCTGTAAAATCAATGTTATTTATAATGTTTTATTTTGAACTTAAAAAACGTGTGAAAATATTTAATATGAATCTCGCATGAAAATATGTTGACGTAAAATCATGACGTGGATTATGATTGCGTCATGTACAATTATACTATTGTTTGTTTTATTATTCATAACTTAATGGATTTTTTTGTAAACTATTATCGTATCAATGTAAAACATCTGGCTATTCGTTTTATCTTTTTGTACAGATAATATTAGTAATAAATGTACTATAATAAAAATGTTGGTAAAAGTATAGAATTTTCATTACATATATAATTATAGAAAGTATTCAACAAAGACGCATTGCAGTAGCAGAATAGTTTTATGACATTTTTAGCTGCTGGGTCACCAGTATTAGAAAGTTTTAACCATCAACTTACATCACTTTCAATCGGAGGATCCCCTCCAGCTTCTAGAAGAAGTACATTCCAGTCTTCAATTTCTGTTAGCCTGTTGGCCAAGATACTGCCAGCTGTACCAGCACCAACAATGATGAAATCAAATTCTTCGGATTCTGTAAATAAAGATGTTATTCAAAGAATTTATTAAGTATTTTAAGAGTGGAAATATCTTTTTAACGTTTTACAACTAACTAATTTAAATAGAATTGTAGAGTTGCAATGAATTGTGTTGTAGAGATTATTTTTTGCTAAAAAATAATTTTAAACATATTGAAGTGGCTTATAATATGTAAATAAAAAAAAAATAGTAGGTAATATTATGAGCAAACTATTTCGATTTAACCTAATTATTTTTTCAATATATTAAGCCTAGGTTTTTAAGTCATTGAAAAATGCATACGTATGTGCATAACTTAAAAAAAAGTCTCAACATCAACAAGAAGTGTCAAATAAGACCGTTCTTGGTAAACTTTCATAAGTCAGCAGATTCTATAAGTCTTGCTCAGCCGAAGTTACTTTGACAACTTCACAATATGGCGAAAGGTCAACTCAGCCCTTGATTTGTGGCTTTGGCGAAAATCGAAAAGGTCGTTACCATTATTCTTGTTTTCGTAGCTTAGTACCCTGTAAAGCCTCGTGTTAACACTGAGGTTTCTTTTAATTTTCAAAATAAGTACTGGAGTTTTATATGGTTTATGGTGTTAAGATTAAGATATTGATTTATAATTGATATTGTATTGTGATTATTATTTGAGCCTACGGTAACTTAATCTACCCAATACCCCTACGGTAACCAAACATGAATGTTAAACGTAAGCTATGTTTTCTGTGCATCATAGAAAACTGGCGTGACACGCATTATTTTCCGGTCGAGCCTGCCCATTCATGGCGAAATATGGTTCTCCTGTGCTTAAAAAATTTTTTTTAAACTACTGCTATGCTGGTACTGAATTAAATTTTATTTTTATACATATAAACCTTCCTCTTAGTTTACACCAAAATAAGTTACTTAGTTTTAAAGATTTAAGAGTACATACAGAGATAGAGAAAACGACTTTTTTATACTATGTAGGTAGGTATGTCGTGATATCACACTTCTTGCTATTTGTTAAGTTACTGAAGTGAGTAATGATGATATTATTAACGTTTGTTTGATGACCGATGATGTAAATCGCGCTGACAATAATTCTAATGTTTCCAGTGCATCTTTTACATATACCAACATATTTACTACGGAGAAATTTTCAGTAACTTATGGTACAAATGCAGAACCAAAATGTTACTTTGGAATTAAAGTCTTGCGATTCCTCTAACTTATAGATATTGCTAGATTCGAGTTTATGAGGTTTTGTGGTAGACGAAAAAGCCTTCAAAAAAATTGAATTTGTGGTATAGGCAACCATATAATATTCTCAATAATTTAACGAGCATTAAACCACTCCGTTTTATTGAAAAAAATATATATTATAATCCATAAATACTAGACAGCTTCATTGATTAAATTGATTATCCTAAAATATGCAAAATTAGTTTCTATGACGAAAAAATATTTTAGATAAAATTAAATTACATTTTGAACTACACGTTTTCGCACACCTATTTGTAATTATAGAGTCCGGTGCGTCATTGAATTTATTTTTCAAAACGCTTTTAAAACAATAGGTAGGTAATGTTTTATTTTTAGGACGATTATATACAAAGCTTATTAACTAAACTAAAGTAAAGGTAATTTGATAACATACTTTTTTATATATTTTATACGCCTACATTACAGATGAAAAGTGTTTTTTTTGAGAGGGGAAAATTATCAAATGAAAATTGTTAAATTTCTCCCGCCTAGGGCGAGGCCAAAGGGACTCTGTCAGACTCTTACTGCCCCATTCCTTCTCCTGCTCAATACGGAGGCTGCAGTGCCTTATTCCGCTTGTCCCGCAACCCCAGCTGAACTGAAAAGTGGCCATTACGTGGTTTATTTACTAAGCATATTTTCTTTTACCATGTAACTCAGCATCTTCAGGCCAGTCTTTGGTTTGAATGAGACACTGCGCTGCCATCACAAATTGGGCTGCAGAAAGGAAAGTGCTGTGAGCAGCTCCCGTAGTTGGAGTCATACAGCCTTGGTTGCTGTGAAAAAGAAGATAGGTATTATACTTTTAGTTAATAGTTCGAATGCTCGGTTGACTACCGCGCAACGTGTTGTCGATTCGGTTTCAGCACAGAACAACTCTGCGTTTGATCCACAAATTGTTGTTTCCAGTCAGGTTGTCATGTGTATGTGAAATTGTATGTGTCCTAAACGCACCCACGATACAAGAGAAAATTGCAGAGTGGGGTATAGTTTTTATTTGAAATAAAAAAGTTGCTTGAACTTTTAACTTTTAATAATAATAACCATGTATTTTGATAAACTCGAATTCAATGAAGGTCACAAAATGAATAACCGATGACTGAAGTATTACCACACAGAAAACCATCTTAAAACAACATAGAGGTCTGGCCACCACCCAGGGTAAGAAAAGCCAATGAATAATTTTCCTCCATAAAAAAGTAAGCACACTTTTTCTGAGTAAAACTGTATTTGAGATTAAAATAAAAATATGCACTTACTAACTCATGTTTTATGTCATTTAAGTAGCTATGTATCCTCAAAAAGATTCACAACACAGAAACATATGAGAATAAGACCACAATTTTTAAAAAATTTACTAAGAATAAATTTGAAAATTAATTTTATAAAATGAACATGGTGCGTGTTTGTTTCGCGAAATAAGGAAAAACAATGTTTATTGAATTGCAACTCGACCTTTATATTTATGTGCGAAAAACCTAAATATAATATATGAATTTTTAATTACCCTTGAAAAATTATTGTTTTAATTTTTCAACGCGAATTGAATCTTATATTGAGTAACGTAAGTTATATATTAGTTTTACTTGAAAAAGGTGTCTTTGCTTGACGTTTTTGAGATTTATGTATTATCTTGATGTTTTTAACCGACTTCAAAAAAAGGAGGAGGTTCTCAATTCGATTGTATTTTTTTTTTTTTTTTATTTATTTTTTATGTTTGTTACCTCAGAACTCCGTCGTTTATGGACGGATTTGCAAAATTTTTTTTATGATTGAAAGGATATGCTTCCAGATTGGTCCCATTCTTTTCAAAATCAAGTTTTGATGATGGGATCCATGAGAAATCGAGGGAACTCCTCAAACATTATAGGCAACTATATCGATGGTCCCTATTAACAATGTCGGAAATACATTTTTACTAATTTTCACTTTTTTACATAAATAGAATCACAATAAAAAGATCTATCTTACGTAATATTTTATTTTATTGAAAATCATTATATTTAGAAAATTTCTTGGTTAATATTGTCGGTTGCAATAACTTTGTCCGCGCAACAGTGTTGGTAGTGACGGAACCGGCGCTGTCCGCGGGGTGGAGAGAGCGCGGGTGCGCGCGGTTCTGCCACTTCGCACTAAGTTACCGGGAGGAGCGCTCGCGCTCGCGCGGATGAATTTGCACTTGCACTGTAAATTATTGTTTCATACGTCTAAACAAGTATATATCCCATAATGTCGAAACGTTCTAAACGGATTTTAGATCTAGTAAATTCTGATGAACAAGATCCTGTTTATCAGATTATGAAAGAGACAACAACTGTCAAGGCTGACTGTCAAGATTATTCCATGCCTACAGAACCTGGTAAGCACCCTTGATGTTACTTAGTAGATAAAGTGAGTTTGTAGATTGTACTACAGCCACTTCAATAATAAAATTAATAAATTCCAACTTTTTTGATTTTAACATTAAGAAACCATCCATATTTTGCTATATACTAATAAATTATTAGCTAAAGAGATTTATTGTTTTTTTTGTTTGTTTGATTAAACTCGCTAATCTCTGGAACTACCAGTCCGAATTGAATAATTATTTTTGTATATGATAGCCAAACTCATGTAAAGGCTCTATAACATCACGCTACGACTGACGGGAATAGAGCAGTAACCAATGACACAGATGTAACCGCTGGGAACAGCTAGTATAGGTATATTCCCTTTAATAAAGCAGGTTCTGGTAGATACATCTATTTTCAATGGTATTCAAACAGACAATTTTGTCGGATATACCACTTCTGACATTATTACATGTAGGTATAGTAGATCTTTTTGTTGGTTGTGTCACTTTCGGCATTATTACATGTAACTAAAAGCATGCGTTTTGTTGGATGTGTCACTTCCGACATTGTTACATGTAACTTAAAAGCAGACGTTTTGTCGGATGTGTCACTTTCGACATTATTACACGTTACCTAAACTTAATCAGTCGGTTGGATATGTCACTTTCTCCACTAATAACTGCATTATTTATATAATATTTAGTCGGATGTATAAGTTGCAAAAACTTCATATTTAATAAAACAAAAATCTTGAATCTTTGGTAGGAAAATTAAGTGCGACGTAACTCTATAAACGGATAGTTTGATACTTATCTGACTCCTATAGGTAGGTTTGGTTTGACCTTCTTTTATTTTAGGAATTATTATTATTTTATCTATTTTTGCAGACCCAGATTCTTCGCCGATACGTGTGCATTCCGATGAGGAATTAACACAATGTCTGCAAGAAATACTGAATGATAATAACGTGTTCAGTGACAAGAATGAGCCTGTAAATACTACTATACCAGAAGAGAGAATTCCTGAAGAAACCATTCCTGATAGGAGAAAGCCTGAAGAGACTGTGGTTTCCGTAACAGAAGAAACACAGGCAATCTCTAAAAGTGCAACGCCGTCAATTGCCTACTCAACACCAATACCGTCGCCAGTTCCTGTTCACGAAGAACCATGTGGAAATAATTTCTGTGCCATATGCATGGAAGCGTATGCCATTAGGCCCGATGAAGTCTATCTAAATCTTCCAACACCTTCTACAATAACAGGCACTTCTACTAACGTAACACCGACTACACAAAAAGTTTCCAAGAAGAAAACTTATAAAACAGATATAGGAAAGAAGAGACTTGAACATAAAGAGCTTTGGTGTGTAGTTCAAAGAAAGAAATTGAAAAATGAAGGAAAATCCTATACAAATAAAAAAGGGAAACAAATTGAAGAAAAGGTATTAGGCCAGCCGTGTGGAAAGAAATGTCGCTACAAATGTACTGAAAACTATGATCTAAAGCAAAGAGAGGTTATCTTTTCAAAATTTTGGAATCTGGGCGATCGTAATAGGCAATGGGAGTTTGTTATAAAGTACACGAAAAAGATTAACAAAGGGCGTAAAACCACTGAAATAATAAAACACAAACGTGAATATACCTATGTTTATTATCTCCCAACTGCAGAAAAGGAAACAAAAAGAGTATGTAAGTTGATGTTCTTAAGTACAATATCTTCTGGTGAGCGAATAATAACAACAGCTTGGAAGAAATATGACGGCATAGCGGCTGTAGAAAAGGACAAGAGAGGAATGTATGACCATAAACCTAGAGTGATTGATGAAGTAATGGTACAAAGTGTAAAAGACCATGTAAATTGTTTAGATCGAGTGGATTCGCACTATACACGCAAAGATTCTAAAAAACTGTACTTAAATAAGATAAAAAGTACTTCGCAAATGCACAAACTGTATGTTGAATGGTACGATCCTAATAAATACAATAATCAAGCCAACAAACGTCAATACCGTGACATTGTAAATGTTAATTTCAACTTAGCATTTCACAAGCCCAAAAAAGATTTGTGTGAAGTATGCCATAGCTTTGAGAACAACCAGCTTCCCACAGATGAAGAAAAACAAAGATTCTTTGAACATCAAGCACAAAAAAAGAAAGCTCGATCACTTAAACAAGCTGATAAAACAGAAGCATGTGAAAATCCTGAAATTGTTGTAGCTACGTTTGACTTTCAAAAAGTTTTGCAGGTTCCACACGGTGAAGTGAGCATATTTTATTATAAAAGGAAACTGAATACTTTCAATTTTACAGTGTTTGAGCTTGGAAACAAAACTGCGACTTGTTACATGTGGCATGAGGGTATTGCTAAAAGAGGGGCCAATGAAGTATCAAGTTGTTTGTACGATTTCATTAAAGTGAATGCCGAAAAAGGGGTGCGTGAATTTAGATTTTGGTCGGACAATTGCGCTGGCCAAAATCGAAACCGAATTGTTTTTGCTTTATATTTGCTTGCTGCTAAGGAGTTTGGAGTAACTGTAATGCATAGATTTATGGAGAAAGGGCACACCCAAAATGAAGGGGACAGTGTTCACGCACTTGTAGAAAGAGAGAGTGAGCGGAGAATGATTTACGTTCCCGATGAATGGTTCTGCTTGGTGCGGTGGGCGAAAACAGAAGGTAAGCCGTACAATGTAAGAGAAATGACCTCACAAGATTTCTACAATTTCAAAGATTTATTGGCGAACAGAAACTGGGTAAAAGATGTAAGAAATGAAAAAATGAAATGGACACAAATAAGAGAGGTTAGAGTTAAGGGCAACGTTTTCGATCGTATAGAATACAAATACGATTTCGACGACGAGCCGAAGACTTTATTGGTTCTCAGATCTACTAAAAGAAACACCCAACGCCAGAATGATTTTAAAATATCTCAAGCTTATGATGGCCCCGTTCTTATTCCATATGCTAAAAGCAAAGATCTTAATTATATGTGCAAATCTGGTGTCATTCCTGAAAAATATCATGGTTTTTATAGAGACTTGCCACATGTTTCTAATGGAGTAGTCCAAGAAAGTGACTCTGAATCTGACGAATAAAATCTGAAAGGCTGTGATTTTTTTATTTTTTATTGATACTATTGTAATTTTGAAGGTCCTGATTTTTTACACAATTTTATTGTTTTTCAATATTATAATAAAGTAAGGTTTTAAAGTACAACAGTAAGACTGATAATGGTTGTAGTAATTAATTATATTTAGCCACAAAAAGTTCCTAAATGTACCTAGATATAATATTTGTTAACTTTGTTTATTTTGATAATTTTAAACTTTAACCTGTTATAAAACTTTGTGCTACTAAATGCTATAGGTATCTTGACTGCTAAATTGTTTATTATGTGTTGATTGCTCATAGTTTTGAACAGATTTTATTTCTAGTTTAACATTGATACTCATAAGACTTATTTTGTTACGTACCTATTTTACTAAAATACATGCTTTTAAAGCATAAAGAGGATGAAAGAAAATTATGTTTTAGACTTTGCTAAAAAGTCTATGCTATTTTCAATGTGTTTTTGAATTATTATCATTACTCTTGTATTTAATTATAATTAAGTATGTGATCTCAAAGTGTGCATTTCTGTTTTTTTCATTTGCGTTGTTCCTAAATAAATATATGGAAAAGTTGATTAAATAAAATTTATTGTTTTTATAATAATTATAGGAAACCTTACACATACGACAAATTTATTTCTAAATCTCCATTTAAAAATGTTGAATATACCACTACCTACCTAAATGACTGTTAATTATCCGAACAAAACTGTCGTTTGTGTCACAACCGACAATTCACTTTGCAAATTGTCCATATTAAAATGTCGGTGGTACATTATTTCCTTAACCATAAATAATTGCTTAGTTTTGTCCATGTCAGTACTTAGTTAATAATACATAAAATAATCAGTGCAAATTTGAATATCCTCAGTTCTGTAATTCTTTTTTTATCTTCAAAACAAACTTTGAACTGCTCTACTGAACAGTGCTCTTTTTGCAGAACTGACATTGTTAATAGGGACCATCGATATAGTAATTTTAATATTTTCATAGAGCACTCAAGCATTTACAGTCAAAAAGTAATGTTTGATGAGGTGGAACTGGTGAAGAAGATCAGAAATGGATGATGAAACTTGACACTCGCATAGATATCACAATCAAGGTAGTTCAGCAACTATGAAAATGCACTGTAAACCAATGATCTTAAATAATTATGTTGGAAATGTTATCATCGAACTGATTTAATGATGATTATGGAGCTGGAAGGTAGGCACTGGAACTGCGTACCTAATTAATATATCCTAGCCGTGTTTGGGCTTGTTAGAATTGTTATAAGATGCACTTTGGCTGTAAGGTACTATTGAACTGATGTGATGATGAAGCTGGAAGGTTGGCATGGGGCCTAGTATTGTGTAAGCTTATTAGAGCTGTCAAGAGCAATGGAAAGGGCTATGCTCATAGTTTCCGTGCATGTTCGAATCAGAAATGAAGAAATCCGCAGAAGAACCAGCGTCACCGACATAGCCCGAAGAAATGCCAAACTTAAGTGACAGTGGGCACGGCACATTGCTCGTAGAACAGATGGCCGATGGGGCCGAAAGGTTCTAGAGCGGGACCGCACACCTTTGGGGGCGGAGTTTGGCCTAGTATTGGCTATTTTGCATTAGTCCACGTGGACTGCGTTTACACATTAGTGGTGAAATGCGTCATTGTGTTCTTATCGTTTTCCTGGTAAATAGGCTAAGAGAATTAATTGGCATTTTTAACAAAACAGTCGTTTTAAATGGGTTACAAAACAATAATTGCGTCGTACAAAACAATAATTGTGTTTCTTTTGTGTGCACATATGTAGATAATACTTACTTAAAAAAGGTTCATACATTGAATGAGTCATAAATGTATATTTACAATAGCGATGGTCTTTTATATTTTTACCAACTTGTCTATATATGAATGTTCTTAGTAATAACAAAATAGTATTCTTCATTTAATGGGTTACAATTGATACAAAACAATAATTGCATCGGTCTTTTTTCTATGTACGAATGTATTTAATCATAGATACTAAATTAGATTGCATTTGGTATCTTTGAACTTTATCTGTCTGTTGATGAAAATATCTAGTTTTTTGTTATTTGGCGAGAACTAATATGAATTTATCATAAGATTATTATTTTATTTTAACTATAAGTCATAAGTATCTCATGCATCATATCATCTCTCCTCGAGATCAAAACGATTACACAGTAACAATGTATGTATTTCTACGTATAAGTATGACATTGGTAACTTTTTCAAAAGAAATGTAGGAACGATATTGACTTCTTTGCCATAACACATTATAATAAAAAAAAAAAACACTAAACGGCTACAAATAAAAAAAAAATTTACAAAATAAAAAAACCGCCTTCAAAAAAAGTCAAGCAATAAAAGTTCCTACACTAAAAAGTAAAAAATAACAATTTGAATTACTGTAAAAAAACTTAATTTATAGGTAAACTTATTTGACATTAATATTTTGCAAATATTCAAAATTTATTACTTATTTTTGGAGTCGGTGCCAGCCCATGCAAGGAAATACAAATGGGCAACAATCTCTTGAAAAACTACCTCTTACTTAATTATAAAACTACTTAATACCTATTTGCATACTCAAATATAGGTATATTAATTAAGACATAAATACAGATTAGACTTCTCTACAAAAAATGTCCGATTTGCACATTTTTTTAAATAAAAAATATGTACTTACAAAAACATTTTAAGTACATTGAAAATGTTTAAGCATTATGTACGAAAAATGGCACCGGATATTAAAAACCTAACTAACATTAAGTTTCAACATCAAAATGCTGGCACCGACTCCAAAAATAAGTAATAAATTTTGAATATTTGCAAAATATTAATGTCAAATAAGTTTACCTATAAATTAAGTTTTTTTACAGTAATTCAAATTGTTATTTTTTACTTTTTAGTGTAGGAACTTTTATTGCTTGACTTTTTTTGAAGGCGGTTTTTTTATTTTGTAAATTTTTTTTTTTATTTTTATATAGCAATAAGGTTTATCTTTGCTGTAAATCAATAATGTCTGTAGTGTATTTTATTTTTGACAATAATAAAAAGAAAAAATAAGGCGAAAACAATAATAGTAATATAAATTGCAAATGTAACAAAGAATTAAATTGTGATAGATTTTTTTATGTAATAGACGGATTACCTGATGGTAAGAATCAGCGCCGCCCATGGATACCAGCAACGGAGGAGTTACGAGTGCTTTGCCGACCTTTTATAAATTAGAGATTGAGGAGGGATTGGGAGAGGGGAAGGATTGGTCACTCACTCACACAGCGAAACTTGTGTTTCGCTGTGATTGTTTCACGCCGGTTTTCTGTGATTGATAAAGAATAACTATCAGGGCGGTTCTTGCTCGTTCTCATCCTGAAATCTTTCAACATAACATATTTCATATTTTTATAGTATTTAATAATAGTATAGAAACAACAGAAAGGTATTTTATATAGGATCACAGATCGAAACAAAAAAAGCAAATACATTTCTAGAGTTACTACTACTACTTACTACTTTGTTTCTTCCTTATTTTGCAATGAACATTTTTTATTTATGTATTTCTTTGAAGTCCTTTTTTTATTGTTTGCGTAATCGCATCAAGAGACTCTTTTGGCCCATGGTGCGGCGTATATAACACTCTGTGACGTGAAGAGAGAGAAGACTTAGAAGTGAAGTAAGAACCATTTCTGCAGCAAGAAAATGTATGACTAAAGCAAGAAAATGTATGACTAAAAGTCATAAATTTTCTTGCTCCTTCTTCTCCATTCGAATCTACAATTTGGAAGATCACCTAACTTCTCTGACGAGCAGACTTACGAAATACTATTCTATTTTCCCGTTTCAAAAGTGCCACTTTATGGTTTAGTTCCAATAATGATTTTGACTTTGACTTTAAGGCCGAGGGTCATTATCTATTGCGATTGCAGTCGCAACTGCGGCTTAACATCAGACATGTGTGGTGGTCTATAAAAAGCTCTTTGAGGAGCGCGCGGACCTTCCGGTCTAAGTTCTTGTCAGATGGCAAGCTGTCTTTGCTCGCCATCTGCTGACCCGTGCTGATGGTGTCCTGAAATTTTCGTGCAACTCTCGACGCCCGGAGTGACTTCTGCTGCGGCGCTTATAGTACATGGAAGATAATTCCCTCACGCGGATATGAAGATATACTAGAGCTTTTAAAATAAAACTCTTTTCATGGTTCATTACAAAAATTTTTTTAAAATCAGTTTGTAATTAGTGAAAATAATTATTTTTCATTAAATAAAAACATTTTGCAGTTTCCTTTTAAGTTGTAATTGGAATTTTTAAGCCATCAGCGCCGCCTATGGACGCTTGTCATACTAAAGGAGTTACTACAAGTGCGTTGCCGACCTCCGTTTATAGGGATTTAAGTATAGGGGATTTGAGAGAATAGAAATGCTAGGGAGGGGGGGGACTGGACCTTCGGTAACCTCACTCACATGGTAACACGACGTAAGTGTTGTTTCACGCCGGTTTGCTGTGAGGCCGTGGTTTCACTCCGGTAGAGCCGGCCTATTAGTGCTGAAGCATGGTTTTACCACTATTTGTTGACTAGGTATATTTCCGGTTCTCATTAAGATTGCTAACAATTTAGACTCTTAAATAAAATTAACATAAACATTTATACGAACACGTATAAATCCCATTCATATAATTATAATTAGCGTCGTCCTAATATCTTATTAGGCGAGAGGCGTGTACATTCTGTGGTCGATTTATCCGTGTTTACCCAAGTGTATATCTTAATTAATTACACAGAGAGCGGTAGATTGAGACATTATGTTCTAGGATACTGTGTGTTGATGTCACTTGTGTGGTGTGTGTTAACGCCTTTGTACATAAAAATGTCATTCATGGCTTTGTTACGATGATAGAGGTTTTATTGCAAATAGTTTCTGTTAGTAAAAGCTTTTGTTTAGAGATTTTGCAAACTGATTATAAGTATTTTTTTCAGGTGTCCATTTTAAACACTTCTTTATTACTTTGTCACTACGTTGAAAATATATTAAATATGAAATTTACAGTACAAAGTACAGATTTTTTAATATGCTTCTGTTAAGTCAACCTACAAAATCTAAGAATGCGAATTACATGCAGGTATTTTTTTTTTT